CGTATCAACTCGACCTGCTCTGCTGTCTCCTCGATCATCTTAGGACCGAGTACTCGCTGCTCTCCGACGTCGTCCCAATAAAGAGGGGAACGACACCTGCGACCATAAAGTGCCTCATAAGGAGCCATCTGAATAGAAGAATGATAGCTGTTGTTATACGCAAACTCGGTGTACGGCAACAGTGACTCCCACTTAGCACCCCTGTCAACAACCAAAGCGTGAAGCATATCCTCCAGCGTCTGAATAGTCCGCTCTGATTGACCGTCCGTCTCCGGATGGTAGGCTGAACTGAACTCAAGCTTCGTGCCCATCGCCTCATGTAAGTTGTGCCAGAATCGACTAACGAATCTGGGATCTCTGTCTGATACGATTGTGATGGGCACTCCATGGAGTCGGATGATCCCACGGGTATATATCTCAGCCAACTTGTCCAGAGACATCTTCATCGAAACGGGTAAGAAATGCGCAACCTTGGTCAGTCTGTCGACCACGACCCAGATAGCGTCGTGATGTTCAGACGACCTCGGTAATCCCGTAACGAAGTCCATCGTGACTTCTTCCCACTTCCACCTCGGAATCGGCAGTGGTTGTAGGAGGCCGATCGGACTCTGATGCTCGGCTTTGACTTGCTGACAGGTAAGACACCTCCTGACAAACTCGGCGACGTCCTTCTTCATGCCTCGCCACCAGAACGATCCTTTCAGATCGTGATACATCTTCGTGCTCCCGGGATGGGCCAGATAGGGTGCGGTATGTGCCTCTGATAGAATCTCCTTCCGCAACGCCTCGACCTTCGGGACCACGATCCTGCCTCTGAACTCCAAGGCACCATCGGCACCTAACTGAAAATCCTGGACGCCTCCGGCGCGAACCTTGGCCTCCATAACGCGAACAAACTCGTCAGAAGCCTGCTCTCGCCGTATTCTCTCTCTCAGTGTCGGCTGAAGCTGCATAGCACTGACACTGGCACTGGTACTCCCCAAGACAGCTATGGGAAGTGCATCAATCGCCTGAAGTTGCATCCGAGCAAACTCATGAATCAACGGACTCTGCTGCGTAATGACGTACGTCAAGTCACCCTTAACCTTTCGGCTTAGGGCATCCGCGACGACGTTCGCCTTCCCCGGATGGTACTGGATAGAACAATCATAATCCTTGACAAGCTCAAGCCAACGGCGCTGCCTCATATTAAGCTCCTTCTGCGTGAAGATGTACTGCAGGATCTTATGGTCTGTGAAAATCTCGCAACGTCCGCCATAAAGATAATGTCGCCATATCTTCAGGGCATGAACGACTGCTGCTAACTCCAAGTCGTGCGTAGGATAGTTCTGCTCATGAGG